CAATTAAAAATGAAATTAATCAGCTTTGAGTCGAAATGAACACGTTATGTAGTCCCACTGGAATTCCTATAACTGAAGGGCATTGTGCAATATCCAGAATTGATTGAAGTTAAACATCAGTAGCTTTAAACGCCGACTAAATGGTCTAGAGTTTAAGTGTTCACCCAGGTTCGATTTCGGAGTGGTGTTCGTGAATGAGTGCTGACGATGAGTCTTATAATTGAACTATGAAAGCTATTTTTGAGGACGTTATTTCACTTAATTCAAAGCTTGTGAAATACTAACACTTATTTTTGTCCTTAGTTTATACTGCAAACCATAAGCTTTGATGTTTGATGTATGATTTACTGCCAAACCTATTGTAATTTAAACGTAATCTTTAGTACTGTATTTTACCACCTCAATGCCTAGTCTTGGACATGATTGTCATCTATTTAGTTGTTTTTTTGCCATAATCTGAATCAGAATCAATCGATTAGTGCTCCAGTTGGCTCATCACCTCTTTTGCTTGTTAACGAATCAGGTGATAGAATAGTTTTCGTCTCTCTACCCAAGGCAGTTAGTCTCACTTCGACCTCACGCGTTTCTAGCCTCAAGGTTCAACCAGTCAGCCTATCGTTTCAAGGTTAACCTTTCCCTTCCATGGTTATTAGATATTTGTTCAATAATTTTTGTTAGTTTTTTTTTCAACCCTATCCCTAACCTTTTTATTATTCTTTAGTGTTCTGATATTCATCTCTTACATAATCTGGATAATGTTCACATAGTTAAACAGTTGAAATCACGAGTCACTCTAAACTAGACCACCAATGAAAACTCGACAGCACAAGACGGCCGTTTCGTCCTAGTATATTACTCCTCATCAAACAATAAATAAACAAACTAAATGTTGGGATATTCAGGAAAGCAGCCCAAAAATTATTCTATTAATTCTAATGTTATTCTTGAACTTGGAGATGGTATTATTCTATTATTGGTCAGTGCTTATTTCACGTGTCATTTTCCTACTGGTCAATATTGTACGATGTTATCTTCTATTTTACGGTACGTTGTGGACTGCTTGACTGGTATATAAACAGAGTGTGTTTGAAATATAATGATTCATATATCCGGGGCTGAAACTTGTGTTCTGGACTCATCTGGCTGGGTTAGACAGGGAAGCGGGATCAATCAGAACCCTAGGCCGTTCTACGTGTTTGCGCGTCTTCGGTCCGATCAATAATTCGCTACCCCTTAATCAGCAGCATATTTTCATATTATAACACTAAACTAACCCTAACTTAAATAGTAAAAAGGACTAAAACAAAATATTTAGTGCGGTCAATAAAAAAAGCAGGTCTGGCCAAGTCACTGTTATGTCATTCCGGTCAAGGTGATTTATGTGAGACATATTTGTGCAATTGTGTGTATGTTAATGGTGGATGAAAAATGTGACATTTATGATGTGAAGGAAAGAGTTAAATTTGTGTATATGAGAATAGTGTGAGATGTGAATAGAATCAGACATGGCAGCTCATATAGATGGTCCAAGTCGGATGAATCAGAAGAATATCTGAGCCTAAATGATTTTCAGCAGTTGAGACGTTTTGTAATAGTAAATAAAATTTATATCTAGGCATTGCAAGTTTTTATATTACAATGACCAAACCAGTAAACTACAACAATGTGGAAAAAGATGAACAATTGAGCGAAAAATATATGTTGATAGGGGATATAATCAACTGATCTTAGTTACACAACCATTGTAAATCAGAAAGTACTGGATAGCTTTTTCGTCACGATAAGATGCGATTAGTAGAGCTTTACTACATTAACAATGAGACAGTTACCTACCAATAGAGTTGGAGAATGGATGTGCAAGATCGCAAATCAACTGAAGTTTGAAATGTACACCAATGGATGATCTAAAAGCCATATTAGAACGAAAAAGCTATCCTGCACCTTCTGAATTTTATTGGTTGTTTTAGCGAAAGTCAGTTTGTGGTATAAGCTATGAAATTAAAAAGTCTACACAGACTCTCTACACAAATAAAAGTATAATTCGCTTTTTAGATCGTACTATGTTATGGACTGAAGAAGAGATTTTCGAATCAATTCTCAGTTGACTAGTAACTTAGCTTTATATAAAAATTCTTTGGATACATAATTTTAACTTATGAATAAAACGTTAAGCCACTGAATAAGAAGCACATTACCTCAATATTTTCTGACAAAAGTGAGTACTACAAGGAAGTCTCTAACGTTCTGATGTAACAAATCACCAGTGATCGCTAACCCATTACATTGTACATCTCCAAAGATTAAATCGATAATTTGCAATACACTTAAAGCCAATTCATTTATATCTCGAGTTAATGTTGACTGATTTTTCGTTGAAAATCCAATTTTTTTAAAATTAATTAATTGGATCCCATTTCATAGAGAAGCTTTAAAACACGTGAGATTTTTTTTACATATCTAGGTAACATCACTGATAAACCAGAAGGGTCTGAGGCAGATGTGAAGGTATCGATTAGAAAAACAAGGATAACATTCACACAATCTAAGGACATCTGGAAATAAAAATAACTGTCAAACATCGAAGTTCAAACCATTGACACAAAATATCAAGACAGTCTTATTGTACGTAGCTAAAACTTGGAAAACTATAATCATCATCAAAAATGTACAGGTATTAAAAAACAACTGTCTACGCAAGATACTCCAGACCATCAGAAACAACGTACTGTGGGAGAAACAAACCAACTGACAGCTGAAGAGGAAATCAAGGAAAGACGCTGGAAGTGCATAGTGTACGCAATGCGGGAATCAAACTGCATCATAAGGCATGCCCTAAGCTAGAAACATGGAGGTGAAAGGAAGATAGATCAACCAAAAAAGTCATTGCGTCCAGAATCGGAAGCAGACATAAAAAAATAGATAGCAGTTGACAACGAATGGAAGAGACAGCTTAGAACGGGGAATCCTGGTCTTTAGTCTATGCTTTCACGAATGGTAACAGCAGTAAGTAAACTAATATTGATCAACTAGAATCTGAAGAATGCATTTTGTTCAAATTACATTATATTTGAATCTAAAATGCCGACGAGCCAATCACGTATAACAGGTCTCAGATTTTGGCGCAAAATTCACTCATTCATTCGTATAAATAGAGTCTTGGCATTATGGATGATGTCAGTTCGTGATGATAACCCTAAATCTAATTTCCAACCTTAATCATCAATTGCAAATCATAATTATAGTTTTTCACACAGGTTTATAACCCTCATTTGGTCCTGGTTATTAGGTGGACAATCTCAAAGTCAATCTAGCGTCGCTCAAAGGTCGTCCATAAATTATTATCATATATCGATGTACGCTTATATAAACGTTCAGAAATGTTCGGAATTAAAAGATGGTTAAATTTCTCAAAATAAAATTGTACTTAAATGGATTTCGAGGTTCAACTCATTTTAATACATTACAAACTCTGAGCACACTGATGTGCATAACATTACAAGAGGATATATTTTGTGAACACAGGTCACTCAATCAAGACTGACTCTGAGTTCAAAGTCATCTACAAGGTAAGTAAAAGTCTTCCAAAGACAATTAGATTGAATCTTCTTCGCATTGCCGAAGCAATAGCTATACATCTGGAAAAAAGAGAATTGTGTGTGCAAAAGAGATTAGTACAACCTCTTCTACCATGGCCTTGATGTCTTATAACTCTTTTCTTTCTCGATACTATTCTTCCTTTATAGTCATTTACTTCCCCTACCATCTTCTACCCCCAACTGGTTTATTTCTGTTTCCACGATCATCCTGATGACATTTAATCTCAAATTCAACATTTTATCTTATCATGCTGAGCCATCCTGCCCTAATGATAATTTCCCTATCTATCTTTTGACGAATATTTAAGCCATTAACAATCAAACGATTATTAAACTTTCCTTGTTTTCTAAAAACAATTTTTAATACCTCTGTTTATTTAACCTCACTGTCACTATGTCTAACAGAAATTTATTATCAGTATTAATACCATTCTGAAAACATAAGTATTTGTATCTGTGTTTGTACAGCTTTGAAAATGAATTCGCCGAAAAGGGGAGAACTTTTCACTGAACTAATCTTTTTTTATTTAAAAAAGAGAAGTCTTTTAACTAATTGTGTCGAAGTGATGATTGTCAACACAGACAAACTGAAAATTAACATAATAATATGGAATTCCGTTAGTGATTTAACAAGATTTTACACATATTTCTTTCTTTTTTGTAATCTATATAACCGTTCTGTTTTACTTTATGGCAGCGAAACATGGTCATTAAGAGTAGAAGACACTCGTAAGCTACTAGTATTTGACCACAGATGCCTTAGAAATATTGCTAGCGTGTGCTGGGATCACCGGGTAAGTAATAGTGAGGTTAGACGCAGGGTATTAGGGTATGATGGTAAGTCAGTTGATGAGGTTGTGAATCTTCATTGACTGAGATGGTTGGGCCACGTGTTACGTATGCCCGAACACCGATTACCACGACGTGCAATGCTAACCGGTGTTCAGGATGGTTGGAAGAAAGTTAGGGGCGACCAAACTAATAGATTTGAGCTTTAATGTTTGTTAATATATCATTCTTCTATACGAAAATGGAGTTATTAGATTAAAGCATTCAACTCTTGCCTTCTAGATTACAAATTCGAATTGTGCTCAATCTAGTTTAAATTAAGCAACCTTAAACACTTGAAATAGGATACACAAGATGAGTATATAAAGCCCTTGATTCAGTAAATGAATTATACATTGAAATTATAACATAATTAATACTCAAATATAAAATGAATGTTTGTTGCATCCCGTAAGGCAAGATCGTGGATACACACACTACTGAAGAGTCAGACAATAGGACGAAACGGCTGTCTAGTGCTTTGAGATTTCCCATGATGATCTAGTTTTAATCGACTTAGGATCTCAATCATTAAAAGTTGTTATTGAACGTTGAACAGAAAAAAAAATCAAAGAAACAACTAATAATTGTTCACTTATTAATTTTTTCTGTATGTGTATTTTGTGAAAACATATGAACATTTTACATTGAAATTACTAGAAAAAAGAGAAAAGACAGAAAGAGACCGAGAGAAAGAGAACAAAAGACAAGATATAGGATTGCATTGTTTTAAAAACAAAACAAAACAGAAGAAGAGAAACATTAGAGAAAATATAGCATACAATTGTTTGTTCTAATCAATATAATATATATGTAACGATATTAGTAGTTAACTGGATGGATTGTTCATTACATACTTTGTCACATTATTCTTCTTTATATCATCAACAACAAAAAAGATAAAACACAATCTCCAAGAGAATAGGGATTAAAGATTGATAAAGCAAAACCAACTAACATTAATGTATACACATATTCTCAATTGACACATGTAATGTAACTCTATGTTACTACTTATTATTATTCAATAATAATGATTCATTAATTCATCATTCATTTGTAAAATAAAATGAATACTATCAAGCATAACAAACCAACTGATAATTCATTAAAACACATTGCTATATTGAATGACAACAGATTCATACAAACTAATTATGATAATGATCATTAAATGAAGAAAACATGGTGTACAATATATGTGCGAGAGAAAGTGAAAGAGAAAAAAAGGGTACAAAAGAACATTAGAAAGAATGAAATAGAATAATGTTGAGAAGGGCTTCCATTAATCAGACTCATTAGAATATTCATTAGACAAACAATCACTGACCTGTTGTTTTCACTGATATTTATGATAGAATGCTTGACAGGGGAACAAAAAAGAAATGAGATACATTGTTTAGCATGCATTCTTATTTGATTTTGACCACATGAAGAAATTCAAACAAAAACTTAGCACCTATAAGTACTCAAAAAAAGTTCAGTGTACATTATCATCACACACACACACATACATGACATAGATGAGCTGTATCACGTCAGTAATTCAAACGGAACATCGAGTCATATGCAAATACATCCTTTTTATTATCGATCCAAGTCTATGAATCCCAATAATGTATACATATATAAACGTTGAAACAAGCAAAACTTTCTTTTTTTTCTCTCTACACGATAGCAATCAAAAACATAACCAACCAAGAAAACAGTAACTGATGAACTATTCATCATTTACCAGGAAGAAATTTATCAAATGTAAACAAGAACACATACAAGTACATATGAATAGATGACCCATAGTCTCAAGCAATAAAAAGAAGGTTAAAGGATAATAACTGAAATACCAACGAAAGACAATAAACATACAGAGATGGGAAGAAGAGAACAGACAATATGTATATGTGTATCTGACAGCATGATAACAGTAGGTAAGAATGAAAGTAATGTTTGTAATGCTCAAACTTCAAAATATCTTTTTCATACCAACCTTCTTTTCATTAGGAAAAAAGAATATCAAGAATTCGAAGAGGAAGGAGACAATGATAGCGACGGCAACGACAACAATAACGATAAGTGAAAGATAGAGACTTTAGCAATCTTCACACACTAAACATATTACAAAGCTCTATATACATGAACAACAAAATATATGTGTTTATTGTAACATATATTAGTGTGCTGAACACCATAAAACAAATTGAACAGTGAAGTATTTCGAGGAGGAGTTTTATTATTATTATTATTTCGAAAGAAAAATGGTATGATTTTCTTCTTCTTCTCAATTTGAGGAGATAAAATAAGTGAAAAGCAAAAACAAAAACATTACAATTTTAACTGATAACTATCAATGTTGATAGAATAAAAATACTAATTATTATCCAGTGACGATCTTCACCTATTACGCTTAACATCTGATGATACTGATGATGAAGACGATGAGCCATTATTCGCTGTTGTTGATGGTTGTTGATTATTTGTTCCACTACGTGAACCGGATGTACGACGTTCATTAGGTGGAATTGTATCTGATGGATGAAGAGTATATGTTAAACGTTGATGTGATGGTAAATGTAAAAAGAATGGATGTGTAAGTGCTGCAGACAAAGGAATACGATCTGCTGGATCATATTCTAACATCTTAGACATTAAATCAAATAGATCAAGTGTATCTTGACTTTCATCTTTGCAATAACGCTGAAAATTAATAAAATAACAGATAGAAGTAAGACAAGAAAAAGAAATATGATTAGCGTAATTTATTTGTTAAACAATGCAATATAATTAGTATGACAAATGTTAACAACATGTTAAATAACCTAGTACGGTTGATGGTGGGGAGTCAGCTCTCTCCAAATGGCCACGCGTACAGAGCTACTACAAGGGAAAGTCCTACTCACTGCCTTCTAGAGACAAGGTGTTATTTATGAAATTGAGAGGACGAAAAACTCCCCTGTACGAATGTATGTACGTTTAAATTTACATATTGAAGTAATGAGTTTACTTAACTTCTATTCAACAATATGGTTTCGAAATGTTACATCTACATAACATGTAGAGTCTAAAAATAAGTGACAGTTAATCACAGGACTGCAGAGTCATTTAGACATATCCATTATGGAACCTGATATAATATGAGCGTTTGTCCAAACTGTCACACTATAACGGTAAAGTATGATGAAATAATCAAGATATATAGCAAAGAATCAATGATAATAGCAGTCGTAGAAGAAAAGAACACGGATATAGCATACGAATTGGCGGATTACGAGCGATTCTCAGTCATATTACCCAACATTTCCAGTTATTTGTTGTGATAATTACGCCGCATCCAATAAAATATTTTCGATCCATCTACACACCTTGATCTAACAGCCCATGACTATTACGTATTAATTTAGGGGAACTTAGCTATATTCGAACATATCTCCTCACACCAGCTAACATAAGTGAATATATTGATTAAACAATCCAGCAGTAAAGCGCTAATGACAACTTTAGCTATTGATCCTTCACAATAAATATGGTGAACAAAAGTGTCGAGATTAATTTGATAAAAACAAATATATGCACATGTGTAGCTCAAAAAAATCTAATAAACATCCCACACACAAAAAAAAAGCCCAGAAACAAACCAAATAAATATTCAGTAAAGCGTTTTACATGAGCAAATAAGGCAAAGACTCATTATGCAATATTTACGCATACTCATACATACATAGACGAACAAACGAAGGTAATGTTAGTATTAAATAAGATAAACACTCATGATTATGCAACAGATGATAAGGAGAGAAAATAATTAAAGTTACCCGGAATGGACGACAATGTGTCAGAACATATTTGGCTTCACGTGATTGTGCATCCCATAAAAGATTGCCGGATGTATCAAAGTATTTGGTTCGACTAGAAACACAGATAGATACGTGTGCGTATGTGTGCATGCATTATGATTATTACAATAAGATTAACAATAATATTAATAATAGTTATTATTCGATGAAAATCTCGAATTAACCGCAAAGTATCATAGATCCATCCATAATATTAAGGCAATTAAAAGTGATTTAGCAAACAAGTAATTAATTAAAAAGAGACGGGATGCAAATAAACACATGCAAAAGAAATCCTTTAGAGAGAGAAAAAATAAGTAAACCCAGTCTGGAGAGTGGAAAAGAAAAGACATCTGATGTGAGCATTCTTTTCATTTGATGATAATTACAATGGTATAATGTTGACACGATGCAGTAAGATAAATATCTTCTTTCAAAATATATTTATTGTGTGCCCATGAAACAAGGTTGAATAGTTTTTTTTTATAATCACTTATCAACAACTTACAAGTAAAGGACGACAATTCTCACGAACATAACGACCTTCTTGATTATAAAAATCCCAGTCCAAACGTCCATGATAGAAAAACCCAGTTCTAAACACACAAAATGAGTATTGATGTAAACATATTTTATGTAGTGATGATGATGACTGGGTCCGAATGGATAGCCTCCACCCGCATATCATATCAATGTACATTTTGCGAAGTGATTTTTCAACAATAACAACAAATTCTAATTTTTTGAGAAATTATGTAGACAGTTGGATCAGTTAGTTTAGTTGTAAACTAATTAATAACTGACATAAATATCAGTTTGAGAGCTGTATTGTCTTACTCAATAACAGCATATTATGGAAATCGAGATAAATAAAATGAAAAAAGATAGATTGGAAATAACAATGACCGAGATAGTGGTAATCTGAGGTATGAGTAGAACGAATGAAATGTAGTGACACAGAATTTGATCATATAGACATTAAACTTAACATTGTTTAATGATGGAAAGACAGTTTATACGGTGGAAATGGAGATTCGTAGCTCAGATGGATGATGATCTTGGTAGTATTGTATCCCTCAAGATAGGTAGCTTAATTGATTAGCGCTTCCATTATCATTCAGGATAATAATATTTTTAGCATCTACTACATGTAGAAGTGAGTTTTTTTCGTTAAACAACAAGTTTTAAGTCAGTTTGTCTTGCTGACCTTCTTTGCGTATAATTAATTGTACTCATAGACTTCGTTGTCTTCATCTATCTTTTCATATACTCCCTTGTTCCATAGATCTATGACTACACAGACCAATATGTGCATCGAATTACATACGATCTATCAAACTACTTATCGAAAAAGATCAATTAATCACATGGCTAGAAGTTAACTGAACAAGAAAACCATCAACTTCTACATAAAGTAAAGTGTTGAAGATGTTTTCAAGCACGACAATGAAAGCTCTGCAATTATTTCACAGAAATAAACAACACCAATATATTTTAAAGATAAAAATCCCATTCAGACACCAATATTATAGTGATGGAAAATAATAATAATAACATACCGTGACTTTCTAGTCATTCGATAAGGAATATGACCTAAAGTACGTTCCATCATAGCTAAATGTTCACGATTATCATGAGTCTAAAATGAAAATAGTAATACAGATTTTTGTATATTTATGTGTTGTCATAAATTTTTAATAAAACAAAATAAAACATCACAATTGTTGACTATGAACATTAAAGATATATGGATTGTAAAAATAACATATACACATGACAGAAGTAGAGATATGTCTGATTCTTCAAAAATTAAAGGAGGAAATTCCAAATTCACATATATCTAAGTAGACGTTTAACTAAGTAAGTAAGTATTGAATACAGTTCTAAGAATATAAACTTATCCATGAAAGGAGATTGTTGAATATTATAGTTACAGATACGAAATGAATACCATTTGATCTAGATTACGTGCTAACAAGGTCAAACATTCCACGCAACAGTTAAATGTCTTGAGATCAATCTAAGAAATGAGATTTTGAACATGCACTAGTGAGGAATCTAATAGTAGGACGAAAAAGATATTCAATCTTTTCTAGTTTTTAATGCTTGATCAACTAAGGTGAGTTCGGGATGTGATTTATAAAATAAACTTATCCAATGATAATTTATGATTGTAAAATACATGAATAGAGTGCTGATCACTAGATGCAGTGATAATTTATTGAGAGACTGGAAGACTACTGACATAAATCTCAGAACGACTTTATTTCAAAAAAATGATAACAACACTATCCAAAAGAGTACGTTTTATCTGCAGTAGAAAATATGCTTATATCACAGAATATTAGGTGTTATAAACGATCTAACTGTTACACTTAATTCTTGTTTATGATATGAAAATCGTTTTAAGGAGTGACTAAAACGTAGTGGGTCGCTGATAATGCGCTTACTAGTAGCTTTAAGAGTGGTCGAACTCAAAAGGAACGTTTCTGGGTTCAATATGTATGTGTATTATATCATTTTTCACCTAAGCACCGTATTTTCTACTTGTCGGGACCTTAAATGTCTTTGGTTCGTTGTCTCTTTTAATAGGCTATTTCGAAACGCTTCCCAAGGATAATTTTATGCCGTATATAAACACTTGAGTTGTGCGTGTTGTTGATCGTGCTTCTGGCTGCTTGTGGAATATATTTCCCACCTCTGAACCAGGACCAATCTCTAGTTAGTGGGTCTGGGACGCAGCAGAATAGATAGCTTATTTGTTCATTGTGTCACTGAGTCTTCTTTCTGTTCGTAGATTAGGTGGATTGGCAATCTCTTCAAACATATCACATATACACGCTAAAATTAATCAAATTTTGCTGATTTCACGCTGAATTTTTCACAAGTACGATAAACTGAATAAGCGTATTTCAATACAAGTTATTTCAGTCAATAACAACGTTGATTATACCACTTATAATCCTAAAATTTCCGCAATCACTGGCTAATATTGTTTGTTGATATGGGGGGCAGTTAGGCATATGTAACACACGTCAGAATTACTTCAGTTGATAACAATTCATAAATTCACCAACCGATTGTCGTTCTACTGATTAGTTTATTACACTGTACAAAAGTTTTCCTTTAAAAAAGCGATATTTTACATTTTTGCCAAAAAAGAAGTAGATAAACACACATATCGATACTAAAGAATAACTTACTTGGAATAGTGTATAACCTGTATACAATTCAAACATGATGCATCCAATTGACCAAACATCACATGGTTGAGACCAACCTAATTCTGTTAAAACAGAGAGAAATATATGAAAATCAATAAAAAATATTCAGTTTCCATCTAAAAACAAGATGAATTTTACTAATACTTAGTAAACGCTAGAATTGTAGTGAACAAGAACACGGGTGGGGACAATCGAATGTATTTAGCACAAAAATTACAGACTATCTCAATAAAATGTGAATACCATAAAGTCAATCGTCAATTTGCAAAATATCATTCCATCATATCAAACTGTACTGTTCCCGTTGCAAACACTAATCCATTGTCTTCCATTCCATTGTACATGCGTTTTCTTACAAATTCCATTGTGCTCTTGCTCTTCCTTTCTTGATCTTCGCCATCTTCTGCTGCCGGACATTACGTTCTTTTAACGCACGTTATATACTACTTATATCAATATAAGTAGCTCACACCACAGAATTATCTCGATTCAGGATTGAGTTTTGACCAGATAGCCTGGATACAGAAATTTGGTTGCAAGGTTCGTTTAAAAGAGATAAATTATGGCCAACAGTGGGAATAAAGGATGAGTAAGTATATCCGGCTGAACAAAACGGTAGGTTCGCTGTGGAATCCATTGCTTGCTATAAACCATTCATTATTTTAAAAAAATTTAACTACAATGTACCATGGGGTATTTTTGCATTGACTAGTGATTTTCAAATGAAAACCAAATTTTATAAGAAACTTTTGTGAGTCTCAATCAATCATACGGAATTTAGAATCTAGGTAGTAGTATCACTAGCCTCGGCACAGAAATAGTGTGGGTTGAAACTAAGTAAATAAATGTATACTTGACAAATAAACAAAGTATTTTACCAAAGAAAATTGATTAATTTGAAATTTATTCTCTTATTCAACAGTTTTTAGAGACCATATGTTATTTGTTGACGTCGGTCATGTGTTTTAATGTCTTCTTTCAGTGGTGTTGTGTTTTGTTAGCTAGATGGTTGCAGAGCTTTTATCATTATCTTGGACAATATACGGGAAACGCTAAGGATGCCAGAGAATTTTTAGGAGCACAGTATTTACACCAGTCGGTATTTAATACGCACTACAACGTAGATAAATTCCATCAATCCAAGTACAAAAGGTCACTCAATTTGAATACAAGAAAATCTACAAAGGCAACTAATGATAAACGAACTGACATGATGCTTGTGAAATAATTGAAAAATTCACTTCTAAATGAAGTAGATACCGATTATATTGACTAGAATGACAATGAAAACTTTCGCCAATTCGACAATCTATCTCGCAGAAAACAACACTACGAAAAGCTATTATTTAAAATTATAAAATCTCCAATGTCCTGATTTCTTTCTTGATCGATTGTACATTATGATTACTATTGAAAACTTTCAAATGTTATGAATATCTTTGACAAGATATGATATTGAATGAAAAATTGAATTGAACACTGTTAACAATTAACTAATAGGTAGTTAAATAATTATTTCATAATGAATTATATAGTATAACGCATTACTGATAATTACAACATTGTCGTCAATCATCAAGATCTGATTTTCATTGATTTCTCATTTTTATTTTATTCATGATAATGATAATATATTCATAATATTAACTAATTAATTAATTAACTAACCAAGTATTACTTCAGGTGCACGATAATGTCTTGTTGATACAATTGTAGAATGATGATCATAATCAAATGTTGCTGAACCAAAATCAATTAAACGTATATCGGAACATTTAACCATACGTTCATGTCGACGTTTTTTACGATTATGTACTGATATATAATCTGAATCAACAAATAATATATTTTCTGGTTTTAAATCTGTATGAGTTAATTGATTATCATGTAAAAATCGAACAGCATAACATAATTGATAAGATATATGACGAACATGTTCCATTGGATAACCGACATAATTATTTTCTTTCTATAAATTTAAAAGAAAAACAAATAGAAGAGAAAAAAGTATAAAGAAAAAACAACATTTATGTCTCAAATGAAAATTACATAACTTATCCAACTTGAGAAGATTAAAAATGCATGATACAAATACAGTAAATGAATTGTGTCTATTATTAACTGATGAGATGAGATATACAAGCAGATCTTATATGTATTAGTCTGTAACTAACCTATTAAGAATGATGTCACTTCAAATATAAATTAATTAACATACTACAAATTTGAATCATAATCAAAGTTTAAGGGCAGATTAGATCTAAGATACAATAAATAACGTCAGGAGATGTAAAACGTACGCTAAACACATGAATAAGCTTTTGTATTGAGTCTAATATTTACTGTAAACTAGGTTTATATTGCTCATTTTATAATTGAGTAATATTGAATCGTTTAGAAAATAAATGAAAGTTTAGTCAATACAACAATGTACTTCCGATATTTGCTGGGTTTTTTTTAGAAAATATGGTTAAAATTTAATTATATAGTCAATAATCATGAAGTACAGCATTGGGATTAGATGATGGTTGGAGGTAGTCGACAGGAAACCCTGGACCCGAGTTTCATGCTACTTGACACTCGTCAGCAAGGTGTACCTGTAATCTTGGGGGAACTGGTGCACCCTGGCGGATTCGATCTCGTGTCATCCAACTTCACAGTCAGAGACGTTACCACTGAGCTATTCGAGCCGCGACCGACCTCCTGTAGACTGGTGGCCACATTGCAACATGATCGATAGCATTCGATCTGCACTAATAAGGACAAGACACGCATGACATTGATCACCACCCAGTGATCAATCAATTGTGATTACATCTCAGTCCTACAGGAGGTCGGTCGCGGCTCGGATAGCTGAGTACAGCAGTTTAGTGTCCATGATAACTAAACATTTTATTATTATTATTATTATCACTTCAAAAAATAACTTTTCGTATGAACTGGGATAATCAAAGGTAGAGATTAATATCTAAGAAGACTATTACAGTTAGTGTAACAAATAACCAGTAATCAAGACCTTTAAGGAAATTTGTGATAACAGAGTTAGGGACCATATAGCTTACTAACCTTGTTTTAAGCTTGCCATTAAATTAGGTAGTATACCGAGCAAATGTAAAGCAGTCACAAACTTATTATATTGATTGTTATGGTATTCTGTTGAACTTTACAATTGTCTACGCATAAAAATGACTATCAACACGTTTGACAACTAGATATAAACTAGTACTCCTATATATTGTGTAAACGAATTGATGATAAATACTATAGCGATAAAATGTATTACCGTAGTTTAATCAAGAACATAGAGAAAGTTGATAAATTGATGATAATATTAATCAACATCCTAATGAGGAAAACATAGCCAGTTTTTAAAAAAACACTTATGAATTGCACCAACGGTTGGGTACAAGAATGAATGTTTCAACGACAAAAATAAAGGGTTAATTATTTTGATTCTCATGTTTCAAAAGTTAACCATGTCATTACTACTTTGAGTAATTTAAGAGCTACTCAACTGAAAAATTAAATCAAATTTAACTAGACTAATATTTATAATTTTTCCTGTACAGTAGAGAATAATATACAAAATTAATTACGTACATAGTAATAAATGAAATAAGATGAATACTAGTAATACCACTTGGTTGTCCAAACGGAAGTAGATAGAGTGGAGATCGAACCTAAGAGTCACACACTCAAGAGAAAATGAACACTTTAACCAATGAGCCACAGAACCGGCTTAACCACATTATATATATATATATATATATATATATATATATATTCTTTAGTTTATAGCTAAGACAGGAAACTGTGTTCAATAAGCCTATTTTTCACACATCGATCTAAGTTCTAAGAATATTTACAGTAATTTAATATTTTATACAAAAATTTAGTAACTATTTCTTAGGACATAATAATCATATACATACTACCAAGAGTGAAGAAATTGACCGGAAAAAGTGGCTGAAAATAGCATTATCAATCGGCACATATCTATCTATCTATCTACCCCATCTACATAGAAGTAGTGAGAATCACAGTGTGTGTTTAAGAAAACGAACACTAATACAAAATAGATCGATGACACATAGTTTATCACTGATTGGTCGGACAAACTTTCTATTGACAAAGAAACTAGGCAGTAGAAAATTTATGTATACACGTACTAACAGTGGGATCAATAAAAAAAGTTATAAGCAATGACAAGTGGATTTACTTATGAATGGATACTGTTTATGACAATAATCAGAAAACAATATAGATGGTTATATATGCATGTGGTATGCACCGAATTGGATACACATTAATAGTAGAGACAACTAATTATCAACCGATTGAAAAAGAAAGTAAAACCGATACGATTCAATAAATGTATCTCTGGACTACTATTAGTAAACTACTATTACAGGACTACTAAACAGTCAGTAATCTCATATCGTTGCTGTATTTGGTTATCCATTTTCTTAACTAAAATCTAGCAAATGAATACAAGTGTGATTGAAAAGTGGCAAACAATAGAAACTTGAAAATACACTAATACTTTGGTTAATTAATTTCCTGTTAGTGGAATTTCAATTATCCATTGTTCTCCTTCATTGATATTGATGGTTTAAACTGCCAGCATTTACCTACTCACCTGCTACCCACTCTATACAAGATATTTAAGATAACTACTAGATGTGTCCAAGTGAGAAATCTACTACAGTTCCTTTTTACACCATTGAATTTAATGATGTTATACTTATGGAACATTGACTTGATGTATTACATCGATCAGAAATCGTTACATAATCAGTGTATACATTTGGTCAAGACATTTTTTTCATTTTCAAAAGACCACATATAAATCACTCATGAGTTTAGTTTCCTAAGTGACAGGCATTAATACATATATATATATAGGAACGAGTACATATACGTGATTGGGTATAGCAAAATTAACTTTCGCGATTTCCGCCTTTTCTCTCGAGCACCTGAACTTATTTATAGAAAGTATGCACCACTATCAACTATTGGACAAAACGCCTTACGACAAAGCCTTTTATAATTGAACAACATCCATTTTCATAAGAAAAAAAAGAATTTCCTATTGTTTAAAAAGCGATAAAGACTCGATTAAAATCAACAGAGAGAAGAGGTAGTTAGCTCTAATTAGTTTAATTTAAATCACGAATCAATCGAAACTAGAGCACAACTGAAAACCTGGACGGCCGTTCCGTCTTACTAGAGAACTCCTTAGCAGTGCCCACCCACGAAGGCAGCTATCTATCTATCATTAGTTTAAATCAAACAAGAAAATAATTTATAGGCAAAGATGAGCAGTGGTTAGCAATGGAACACAGGACATGAGTTTTTGTCCTTTTTGTGATTCGTCAGCTGCATGTACCTCCATCCCAGAACTGATATTTACTCCGGGACTCGAACCCAATGCTGTTCGCTTCAAACACCATTGCGTTATTCATTTAGCTACTAAGTCAAGATAGCCACAAGCTTGTGTACTGAATCAAACAAAATCTATTCTTATTTTTCAACTTCTGACGATTAAAAACTTATTTTCGAAATACAGAAAATATAATATCCCCTTTCTATGTTATAATGTACAAGTAGATAGATAAGTAATTAGGTAAACAATATAACAAGCATTAAAATGTACTAAAAATAGTGAAATTATTTTAAATACAAAAAGAAAAATAGTACCAAGAGAATTTCAATGAAGTGAACAATTAATATAAAGACACACATATGCAACATATACAAACAAACATAAACTAGTTGTTAGTTAAGAATTAATGGAAACTGACATTATCAATAAAAATTACAGTAGTAAATACTAATAATCCTACGATTATTACTATTATACTATTAATAGCAGTAGTATTATTGTTACTGATATCATTGTGTTTACCAGTAATAATAATAATAATAATAATAATAATAATAATAATAATAATAATAATAATAATAATAATAATAATAATAATAATTTTCTTTATAATTAATACAAAATGACAACAGAAAATGTGTATTTCTTCGAAGGTACAAATTAACTTTAGTTAAAGATTTGAAAATACACAACAAACTTTGAGATCACATGAACACCAACAACAATAAGACAATAGATTTTCGAATCAGAAAAGCTCTACCTATTCCCAATCCCTTTTTAGTCGACCACCAATATAAAGAAAAAATATTCAAAATACAATTTACTTACCAAGAAATCAAAAACAGATAATCCAAGTATATCAAATGCCAAACAAATATGTCCATGATAATCAAACCAATCCAACAGGGTTACACATAAACTATCAGGAACAAGAAGAAAAGAAAGAAGTAGTGCATAAATTCAAATAAATCACAAATGAAAAATATAACATGAATTATTAGTTTATAATAAATGAATGAATAGTTGTAATGGCAACTAGATCAACATCGACAATACAGTAATTGTCTTTAATTAGTTTATTTTAAAGGAATAACAAATACTGAAAAAACTTCACATACATACACACAGACACTAGGAAATATAATAAACAAAGAAAGAAATGCCACAAATAATGGATATGTATATATCCTTTCTTATACATTTAAAAAATAGAAATATATATATATATATATATATATATATATATCGATGATGTTTATCGTACAGAACACAAATGTGAATGTGTGTGGGGGGGAGAGAATGAGAGGCAACAGGGAATAATGATAAATCAACACAAATTTAATTAGCACAAGAATACAAAAACAAGCACTTTATATTTATCCACAAGGTAACATGTTATTAGTACATTACCACATGTTAAATAAATAAAGATTATCTTGATTACCAATGATAATTTGAATGGATTCATTGAACCAGAAAAAGCATACAATCTTATTGACAATTAATAGTCATAATTACTTTATGTCGGAGATGAAATAAGATTCTCAACTGACTGATTGACTGTGGGCACTATTAAAAGTTATCAACTATTGAGTAAAAATAAAGAGAATTCAGCGAAGAAAATCTTATTTTCGATGAAATGATGTACTCAAGCTGTACATTTGCACTTATAGTTATTTGGCAAATATATAAGTCTATGTAAAGATAGAACAGAATGCAGCTGAAAATTACAAAATAAGACCAAAATATAATACAGAAGGGAATTAGAGTCAAGGAAGGATGTATAGTTTTAGCACACAGAGTTCGAGCTTGATTTCATCTAAAATAAGATCTTTGCTGAATTCTCTTTATTTCTATTTAATGATAAAATGGATTATTTTAATTATTGTCTATTGTTTGTTTTTGAAGTATGAAGAAAATCGGTACAAAAATGGGGGATTCAGAAAAACGTGTTCCGTTCTATCGAGAACTTGTCAATTGGATGTGTATCTGGATTTCAGTGTTGGGTGTTCACATTCGGACTCGAGTTCAATAAGGTTATTTTCAAATATGAATGCGTTATCCACTGGACAAATGATACAAAACATAGAAATAGTTGAAAAAATAAGTGGCTATGTGGACCTAGTATCTCAGTGGATAACTCATTGATGTTTGAAGCAAAAGGTACTGGGTTTAAGTGTTTGTATGAACATGAACACTAGGATACAGGTAAATCTAATTGATAAGTCCGAAAAAGAAAAAAATACGAATCCTTGATCCAACTGTAAGCCACAAATAATCTATTCTAATAACATGATCTTTTGAATGATACAACTGCTTAAATACAACAGTAGAGAGACTTGATAAATTACTAATTTTTATTTCTGGAGTGTAATGTTGAAGAATTAGTCGGAAAAAACTGATTCAAAACTAAATGGCGCTTTTGTATTTCAATATTATGTAGTGATAATCACTGGCTTCTCAACCCAATTACAATAAATAGCTGAATATATGGATTTTATCTCTCAACTCAATATAATTCTCCACAGTTTGCAGGTTATAGACAAATTTACATACTATTGAAACCAATGTTGAGAACAAAACTGTCTAGAGTACCCTGTTAGAGTATTTGTACCACTATGTCTTTATAAGGCAATCACAGGGGAGAAAATCAACTGAGAAACCAAGTCAAAAAAGGAAGCTCTATATAATTATTTTTTACATATTATTTAAAACATGTTAGTAACTGAATGAATCATCTCCATGTACAAATTCAAGGATGGTAATCGAAACCTTTCAAACATTTGTTCAATCTGAAGATAGTTGAAATGATGTGGAGTAACGGTGGGGAAAAAAACCTTAACACAAGAAGTAGATGGTTTATAACGTAGCTTGTGATTTACAACTCCAATTTCTAAATCATAAAAATAAGGATAGTAAATTTCTCCATAAACGGAAAAATTGGTGCAAAATGCCATCAAAATACATAAGCGCCACATAAATCATTGGATGTTTGGGTTGGAATACTGTCCAGGTACTCAAACCGGAACCAATGGACGTCCTCGAGTCTTTAACCTAGAGATCTAATCCACAAAGCAGTGGAGAAACGTGAAGATATGCAGTCCCATGATAACCGATGACCAACAGCAAGTTGATACATCATTTGTTTCCTTAGGAATCTAGAGCCCATGTGCACCACTGGTTTTGAATCAGGGCTTTCCAACTCTCCTGTTCGGATTCTCCATACCTACTAACTCGGTTTAAGCGCCGGACATTTGTTTTCCATCCTTATTTCGTAAATAACACCCTGTTTATGAGAATGTAGTGAATAGAACTTCCCTGACAGTAGCTATATACACATGACCATATGATAGTAATAAATGTATATGAGTAAAATAAGTACATTTTACTTACTGTTCAACATTTGCACTACGTTCATTTAAGAAATTTAAAACATTGATTTCAAGCATAGCAGCTTCACGATATTTATCAACATTTTTGATAATTTTCAAAGCAATTCTACGATTTCTACACATGGAAAGAAGTAAAATGATCAAAATAAAATATACACAAGTGAACAGTTTAAAAATAAGTAATAATTTATTATCGAAATGAAAACAGTAAAAGTATGATACAGAAACCATGACAGAGAAATTGAAAATGACTCATCAACGACTTATCAAGGGTGGAAGACATTTCGAGTACACCGAATCATCATATAGTTTAAAAACGTGTTACGATGGCAAATTTAAAAAAAAGACTCAGATAACATACGGTGTGGCATAGAAGAATTGAATTCGAGTCTCATAAATGTTAAAATCATATTGTAATGAACGAAAACTCAATCACGGTAAACCGATTTATTGTTTATGCGAAATCAAACAGTGCCGTTGTAAACTACGAAAATCCTACATGAAATACTTCATTCGCATATCTACCTTGAGTTCTCCTTTACATAATCTACGATTCTTCCAATTCTGTTGTTATTCCGATCGCTTTCTGTTTTCCTTCATCTTTTGGTAAGCACTCCACTTCTAATTCCTGTTAGATGCTACTTATATCTGTCCGCACCATAATATCTCATTAGTTCAGTGACTACGACGTCTATCAATTCAAACAATGCGACACTTTATTACAGAGATCGTAGTTGAAACATTCAAGCGATAGCATCATTGAACGAATATGATTTATCTTCTAGTCATATGAAAACAACTTAAGGTTATTCAGACCTAAAGCATTCAGCTATGGTATGGAATCAGTGTATACATACCACTTCCTCTAACATTACAGCATAAAACGTCCACACTGTCAGAAAGATTACTAAGTGAAACAATTGATTACTGCATTTACGAGAATTAACCAAAAAAATATGAACGGTTACTCATAAATAGAAAGATGACAACAACAATGACAATGGTAACAATAATGTTTATGTTGAATTAAGTGTTAATTAAACTTACTGTACATGATCTTTGCATTCAACAACTTTACCAAATGTACCTTCCCCAAGTGTCTTGACAATTTCATCTAATTGCAAAAAAGAGAAAACAATCATGAAAAAATTAACATGATTTGACATTCTTGATAATTACTAACAATGGGATATAGATCCAGCCAAGTGTCCACAGCTTCTGTTACGAAATATCTACTTATTACTTTTAAGGCAACGGAAGTCTTTTACAAAAATGAGAGGTGGAAAAGAGGACATCTGGTGCTAAAACCATGTTGGTGGATATAGAAGCTTAAGCTAGGGGAATTGGAAAACCCTGATTTTAAAGCAAATGTGTATGTTCACTCCAAGATCCTGGAGGGACGAATAGCTGATGAACATATTCTAGGTCACTGGCAATTATGGGACGGTGTCTCCTAATAATTGCTCCACTAAACTGTGGATTGGACCTTTAATGCCAAGGTTTATCGGGTGTCCCCCTTCAGTTTGGGCACATAGGTAGTATCTCAGTACATATATTTTGTAACACATTCCATTTCGGATGCTCACTTGTAACAGATTTTAGGAGAATAAGAAATAAATATCTTCAGGTTTACAACACGTTTGCCACATGCTTCAACCTACCACAAAATCCTGGTACTAATCACAAGCAAATCCTTTATACAACATTGAATTTTTCTTTATCTACTGAGCTTAGTAAATAACTTCACAAACTTTTTTGACATAAACAAACGTCAGAAAAACTATTAGACAAATGCTGTGACTGTTTTAAAAAAGAAAACTCTCAAAATGAATTCATTTCTAGTAAATCGTATTTTTTCCAAACTTATTAATTTCAAATGAAGCGTACACATGAAAATAGATAATGATGTAAAAAGGTGGTATGAAAATTTAACATACAAAACAATACAGTGTGAATATTATCAAGTGGTAAACTCAATATGTTGTTAGTGCCAACAAATAGAGAGATAGAGTGTGTGAACAACTTAAGATTCAAAAGAAGTATCACTTAAGGTACATAGCTTTTTTTCAGTTGAATTATTATAATGATTTTGATTGAAGATATTAAATGAAATGTACCATAAATAAGCATTCACAGTTACTGGGAATAGAAACAATTTGCTTATGAGAACAATAATAAAAACAACAGACTGAAATCTGAATGAATATATAAGAACGAATTCAAGTTATATCAATCTAAAGTAATTACTAAAACTCATATAAAACTGCCTTCTCGCGGCGGGGGTTTTGTTTATGAAATTGAAAAGACGAAAAGTGAATATCCGGTGCGTCAACCGGATTGGTGGATATGGAGGATCCATCTAGGGCGGTTGGAAAACCGTGATTCCAAACCAATGGTGCACATGGGCTTCAAGATCCTAAGAGAACAATAGGCGTATGAACCAATCGCTGGTCACCGGCTACCATGAGACTGCATCTCCTCACGATGCTCCACTGCCTTATGGATTAGACCTTTAGGTCAAAGGTCCGGGTTGTGCCCCCCTAAGAAAACTACCTGTTTCGGTTTGGCCACCCAGTATCCTAGCCCATATGTTAATTTAAAGATAATTTATGTGAAGCATACATATCTTGGCGCCTTTTTGCACAAATGTTTATGGTTAAATAAATGAAATAAATAGAAACCTCAAAAAGCATTGTTAAAATCTTGCAAGGGGTAATTTAACATATTTGTTAAATTTTACATTTTGATGACTATTTGCAAATAACAATAACAATGTACACAAAAAGAGGATCGAGATCTAGGATTCCATTAGATGTCTCAAATTATTAAGGACATTAGTATTGTTGAATACATTTTTTCCGGTTCGATTAAATAATTTTCTCCTCAGTTACAGTTATCGACGGAAATTTTCATCAAGAAACAATCTTACTAAGATATGAATTTGCAAGAATATATAAGCTATCGTTGACACAATTCATCAAGTACATATTTATGTATTATAGTTTGAGACATGTTCTGTCTGTGAAGCCTATAATACTACACGACTTTGGGAAGAGAAATAATCGAAGTGAGACTGGAACCTGAGATTTATTGGCCGAGAACCTAATGCCTTAATCACGAAGAAATCATCACAAACATATGTTAGTTACATTGTTAAGATGAGTGAATAAGCACATGAAATTGTCTGTGACTGACACAATAATATCAACAAGCAGACCTCTTATTTAATAATAACAATAATAACAATCCATATTTGAGTATATCGAACAGAAAAACACAACAATATGTACACAAACGACTTACATCGATTCAATAAACGATCACCAATACTATAGATCAGATGACCGTCAACATCATCGACAACTTCATCATCGTCTTCTTCTTCAGGAGACTAAGAAATAAAAATATACAAGAATGTCACATTTACGTATTGAAAATACTTAGAAAACAACAAAAATATGTCACCTAACTAATTCTTTTACTTATAAGTCTACAGGTATAATTGAAGTGCATTATTCTAAGATAAACATTTTTATATAACAATCATAAGTTATTTAGAAATGTAGATTAGTATAATCTTACATATTCTCCATTATCACCATTTTAACATGATAGTTATTAATGTCTAATCATAAATATGGATTGTCGTATTTTACATTGATATGAAAAAGGGCAAAAAAATGGTTTTTCGACGGAATAACAGAGTAAGAATGATACAAATACTGCTAATAACATACATATGCAACCATTTATAAATTTCAATTGCTTGATCAAATTTTTGTACATGTAGTAGATGCACGTCGTTAAACTTCGGGTTAACTGAAAACATTTAAGACATGTAAAGTATTACATGAAAAAAAGTAATATCACGGTTATTTCACGGTGATATCCGACATAAATTCTTAAGAACCTGTAAGTGATTGATAAGAATAAATATTTTTAGAGGCTATCAGATCAAACTCATTCATCATGTACAGGTGTACTCGAATAATTTTTAGCCACACACTATGTGACAATCTATGTAAACTGTAGTACATGGAATGGATCAATAGTCTAATAGACATTAATTATTAACCGTGACAGATCATTAAACAAAGAGAGTATAGAACACACTTTGAAATGTATCCTTCGTAATCAATTTAACTCTTCATTTAAACATTCTGCACATTAGAGAATTCGATCTTTTTGAATTTATCAACATTGTTGTTTTTTTTAATAAGAACATTCAGATGAATAAATACACAGTGATGAACTACGCTAAGATTAGTACACAAAGGATCGTTCTATGTATAAAGTAGAATGATTATAAAATGTAAAATGTACAAGTCATAATAAATAAATAGAATAAAATAATTAATCATCACTCTATACATTTGAATTAACATCGCTTTATACATAATAATATAGAGTTGATAACAAAACACAAAACCTACAATCATGTTTATATGTAACATAACAATGGGAAACTACTCTATGGAATGTATACAACAAATTATAACTTGCTTAACAGGTTAATCATTTATTTATTTATTTCAACATATAGATATTGGTACAATCAGGCACCAAATACATATGCGCCCCACAAATCTCATTCGATATGTGTGAGGGCTGCAATACTGCCCGGGTGCCCAAACCGAATCATTTGTATTCATATAATACTATACTATGAGATATATCATAATGTTTTTTATATAATATCAATATAAAATAAACAACACTATCACTTATAGGATAAATAAAAATATTTAGAAAAAACAAAGAAATAAATTCACCTCAGCCTCTTGTCTTAATAATAAATTCTCATTTAAACTTTCAGTAACGCTAAGTTTCCTAAGTTCAATAAATCGTTTGGCACGTTGTCTGGCAACAGCTAATCTCGAGGTAGCTTGATCTTGAGTGTCTTGTGTCAGTGAATCAGTATTATTGTTAACTAATTTACTGGCATAATGATTATCAATACCGTTACCATTAATAGTATTATTATTATTATCATTAGCAGATGTATTAACAGTATTCATCATATGATTCTCGTTTTGTTGGTACGTCATAGATCCATCTATCATTGCATTTTGTCGTATTGCACAAGCGACAGTAGCTGCATTTATCTCTTGTGTTTTTTGTGTACGACGAAGTTGTCGTCGGAGACGTCGACCAACTGTTTCACACTCAGAATCCTCATCTTCTTCATTATTTTCATTTATTTTATTATTCTCTTCCCCATCAATTTCATTGTTGGAATTCAAACAATTTTTCAGTGATCCATTGTGTAGGTTATTACTTTTAGTATTAGTATTTGTTACGTCATTGGAATTATCCAGCCTTCTTAAATAATTGCCTGACTTTGTGTTAGAACATGACTTGAAAGTAAATGGACCACAAACAATAACTGATGCTTTGCATGGAGGACTGAAATATTCTACTCTCTTAGTAAACCTAACATTTGTTGCAGTATATCCATCGCAAATAATGCAAACAGTAAATACAGCTGCAGGATGATCCGGTAAAGTTTCAGTACAATCCACAAATTCACCATCTATTGGCCAACGAAATCTAGGTGAATTAGCACAGAAAACTAATGGATTGTTACTAGTTGTAGCAGAACGCATACGTCTTAATGGAACACCACGAGATAATGGTATTAGATAAGGCATATACTCTATCACACTAGTGAATAAACTGAGTTTATACAAAGATGGCTGTTGCTTTTCTTCTTTCTTATTAATTATACAAGTAGATGATGAAGGAGCCTGTTCTGTATCCAACGAGAAATAGTTTGAACATCGTTCACAAACAAGACGTATGTCATTTGTCTGAGTGGCCGTGCTTGCCGTTGGAACTTGTTTTTGACATAGTTCATGCTTTGAAATTGGTTTCAATGTAACTAAACGACTGCCAGAAGTAAGTGCCTTAAGTAATTGGTTTACAGGAGATTTGACTGAAGAAGATGATGTAGGCAATAGATCTCCAGCACTAGCCTCATTTCCATAAACTGGTGATTCTGGAGACAACAGAGATGATGAAGTGGCCAACAAAATGATGCCTTCATCATGTTTCATTGCACATCCATCGTCTTCTGTATCAAATACATCATTGTCTGAAGACGCCCCACCAGTATCATCTTCAAAATCTGGACCATTAAAACTAGAGGTAGCTTTTTCAAGTTTACGTAGCAGCGCTGCATTCACCTCATCAGCTTTAACGCCATATGTAGGTTTGATTGTGCGTCGTGTTGTTGCAGGTTTCCTATCAGCTGGTGGAGAATAAGAAGACTCTCTAGATGCTGCGCTTCCTACACGTAATCGACTTAAACCATCATTAATATGACTATTACCAATACCACGAACTGCAGACGCTAAATTTGGATTCGCAGGAACTCTTGGTGGACGAGTAGATGAAGTAGACATAATTGTTAAACTTTGATTAGTTTTGGGAGAATTAATGTAACCTAACTGATTAGAGATCAATGTCAACTGTTGAAAAGAATCAGTTATGTAAGGTTCCAATATAGAAATGGAATCTGATGTTGTTAATAATTGAATATTCGATAAGTTATTGAAATTGTTTGATGAATTTTCTGTGGAATTTATCACAGGATTTGGTTTATAATCGGACAATAGAAGTGGATTAGATAAATAAATAGATTGAACACTATTTTTAATTGTTTTACAATAATGATAAACTATACAATCTGTAACTATAAGTAAAACATGATAATGTACTGACTGTGTAAAATAGAGAAAATCTTGCTCAGAAAGTGTCAAATTTATCAGTTCAACTAGTAAATATGAATGAGAGGGATGTAATAAGTTCGATGCATATTCCAACAAGTGAAATTGATTATCTATAATTTGTGAATAATTATGCAAAGAGTATTCAGGTGTTTGTTTAGTTAGTGTCCTAGTGTTGTTCTCTTTTAAATTGGAAGATGATGTGCAAATAGCGATAGGAAGATAACAATTTGGTACTAAATGCTGTAGACAAACAGGTTGAACAGTACCAACAGATGGTTCTACAGAAGTAATTGAAGTTATTCTTGGCACAAAATTAGAAAATTCAGTTGATAAGGCAGAAGAGGTTGGATTAAAACTCGCACGATTTGATGACTGTATACAATTAAGTGATGAATGAACTACTGATGACAATTCTTGTTGCTGTAAATTATTTGTAGAATCTGTTGTACAATGATCAAAATCAGATGACGAAAATGTGTTATCATAAATGGATGAATCTGATGGCTGACCTTGGTCGGTAGGTCTGGCCGGATAACTTGTTTTTTGCCCCAGTTGGAAGGTGAATTTAACAAAAATTGATGTTGAAAATATATATATTTAATCCGAAATTCAACTGTCATGTATACCAACAATAAAATGAATGACACTATATAGACATTGTGATGTGATGATAGAGATCGACGTAACCAATCATAAACATAGAAGTGAGTGAAGGAGGATATTGTGTTATTTGAAAATTCAGAAAAGTTACACCAATAAGTACATGTACAAATGAATTGTTGATGAAGTAATATATATTAAAGAGGCGCAATAGGGCAGATAAATTTTATGCGAAACAGAATATCATATAAGAATAGGCTGCACAACAAGTTCCAAATTACTGCCGTCAATCAGATCCGATAACATAGTTTTGTTTAGTGGTAGTAATATAGTTTTTTTTTCTAGACACACGCAGAAAAGTTGAAGAAAACACGCACACCAAGTGTACATTCACAAGGTTCGGACAAATACAAAATCAATCTGTTGACATTACTACGTGTTAACGCACACACACACACAAGTATAATCACGCGTACATGAACAAAATCAGTAAAACACTGTTTCCTGAGGAGCAGAAAAATATTTGCACAAACTAACCCACTTATCACATTTTTTCATTTTACCGTGGGCGTAGTTAGGAAATTAAGGAAGCTATATACAGTCTAATTCATTTGCCCACATAATGATTGTGATTAAAAACAAACACAAAATTGTGTAGCATTTAGGCAGTAAAACATATCCTTGAATCAGTAGTCTACTGCATGTTATAAGATCGAAGGGGAAAAAAAGCCTCCATACAATATATAACTAATAAGAATTCACTTAGTCGATTGTATTGATGGAGATGAAGAGAAGAACTGTTTTTGCCACATGTTGACACACACACAGAGAGAGAGGGAAGAACAATCAATTGACATATTGAACCAGACACAAAAGCAAATCAAGAAATTGGTCAAAGGATAAATAAGTAATCGATTATCATTATTATTGGTAATAATGACTATATTATGAAGTAAAAATTAATTTCAAAAATAGATTATGTAACCCTAGAAAAAAAAATTATTTTTAACCTACATATAGAAAAGAAACATCATAGGAATACTTCGTAAAGTTGTTCATACAAAATATGCTGAGAAATAGTGATAATCACCGAAAAATTAGAAATCCCAGATTTACATTGGATACAGTATCCTGAATCGTCCAACAATGGTATCAGTAATAAATAATGAAAGTCTTAGTCAATCAATTCATATTTTTTTATTATAGAGGGTTTTGTGGAGATTACTGAATTTCACAATTTCAGTGAAAAACTGTAACCATTGGAGTGTAATCAACTCGGATGTGAAGCAATTACACACTGCTAGCACGAGAAGATGTCTGTACCATATAAATGAAGAAAAATTAACTTATTCATCTGCGATTTGGGTATGAGCCACACTTCAAGTGTGAGGTTAAATGGTACTACCTAGTTGACCAATCCAAAGCAAGTGGAGCGAGGACTTAGTGGTTGTAAGTCGGATACTTTAATTACTAGATTCATTACCTCAATGATTTAAGGAGAATAATACTAATGGTTATGTATCATAATAATCCATAACCATTCATAAACCCTACCTAAATACTAATTATTTATCATTACACCTTATGTGCCCCCAAATGCCCTGGTACAGCCGAGAGTAGGGAGAGTCCGCTCTCCCTCTCCAAATGCTCTCACATGGCCACGCGTATATAGCCTCTGCCAGGGAAGTCATACTCACTGCCTTCTCACACCACAGGGGTGTTGTTTACGAAAATGAGAGGACGAAAAGCGAATGTCCGGCGCTTTAACCGGATTCTAAACCAATGGTGCACATGGGCTCCAGTATCCTGAAGGAACAAATGGAGTATGAACCAATTGTTCGTCACCGGCTTCCATGGGACTGCATCTCCCTACGATGCTCCACTGCCTTGTGGATTAGACCTTCAGGTCGAAGGCTCAGGGAGTGGCCTCCTAAGAAAACCACCTGCTTCGATTTGGGCACCCGGACAGTACCACAGCCCTCACACATATCGAATGAGATTTGTGTGGCGCATATGTATTTGGTGCCTCATTGTACCAATATCTATGTGTTAAAATAAATAATAAATAAATAAACACCTTATGATATTATTTTAGTTCTGATAAGCAATAAAACAATTCCAAATAGAAAAGTGTAAATCTTTAAATGAACTAAAATAAAAAATCGTTCAATCTACCCAAGTGACAACTGATTAAAAAGAGCTATAAAATATAATCATGAACATATTGATTTCTAATAAAAAAGGAAATCATAAATAGTGTGTGTGTGGTGTGTGTGATGATATATACGACAAATTGTAAGTTGACCTGTTAAAAATAGAATGTATACTTATCACGGTAAGAAAATGTTGAAGTTATTGTGACGCAGGAGAGTATTGTTAATTTTATAAATTGAAATGCATGATATCTATTACATTGAAGATTCTTTCAAGATAAGCATTAGAACAGTTTTTTCGATACATTTGTATTTATCAGGAGTTTGTGGAGATTTTAGAAATTTTCACAGATTGAAATCATGAGTCAGTTGAAGCTAGACCACTATGGAAAACCTGGAAGCACTGGACGGCCGTCTCGACTTCAAGAGATACTCCTGGAGTTCTAGTGGGAAGCCGTTACCAGTGGAGTTCAACCAGGTCTGTTGTGAGATATCAACTCACTGAAGACAATTGTATATGGTGGCGCAACTTCGTGGATTGGTTGAAGTTAGACATTAACACCGTTGGATGCCGGCTCAGTGGTCTAATGGTTAAGTGCTCGCGCGCGAAGCCAGTAGGTCCTGAGTTCGAGCCCCGCGTGGTGCGGGATCGTGGATGCGCACTGCTGAGGAGTCCCATACTAAGACGAAACGGCCGTCCAGTGCTTCCAGGTTTTCAATGGTGGTCTAGCTTCAACTGACTCATGATTTAAATCTGTGAACATTTGTATTTGTAAGAAAGTATGGAAATGAACTTAAAAATAAAGATTATATTTTCAAACATCATCTTGGAATAGTACAAAGATGCTACCCTGTCATAAGAAAATGTTTCCAATTTCTACAGAAAAGGCTTAAACTGATGAAAAACACAAACACAAAATATTATAAGGAATATATATATATATTCGGTGTATGATGAGAATGTCGAATTTCTCACATACAGCTTCTAGGAAGAAACCAATTTTAAGATTTATATAATGATCTGAAGTGAATTCATTCGGTTTTCAAATGTATATTTTATTATCTGTTTTAATTAATTTTTCTTGGGACTTCCACAATACATAATTCTTACAAGACGTCCTAGAGCACTGCAGTATTGTGTACTAGCTAATCGGTTTATCTAGTCTGCATAAACTTTGTTTCTTATTAAATCGAATCTCATAAATTATTCATAATTTAAAAAGATACTAAAAACTAACTCAAATCACAACATTGAAGGGATACATATACAGTTGTCTTAAGTAATCAGAATATACATCAATAGAGATGATCGAAATTTATAATGACAAACATTGAATAGAGTTTCAATCGGTAGAAATTCATTGGTGTTAACCTAGACATTTTCAATGCAATTCGATCTACTTTCTAATGATCACTGCATACATCAATATTGACGTGATCAAAAGTCATAAAACGTAGAAAGCAATAACACCAAAAAAAATCAATATATGTACACACTAACTGAATCGAAGCTAAGATACAATTCGAACAAGGTTGAACTAAATCACTAGATATTATGAACCTTTACTGACTAGGATCATCGAAAAATTAACGAACACAGACTGCAAGACAACTATTAACCTTGATCAGCAATGATTAATCAAAAAATAATAATAAAACCGAAGATAAAATTGGGCAATTTTGAAGCATTCGATAATGACTAAGTGGGATGTGTCAGGCATGATGAGAAGCTAGTGAATTTATGATCTAAAAGATTCACTAGATAAACATGTACACATAATCAGAAAAATTCAAGAAACTCAATGATAAAGAATAACTCAAATAATTGATTGACTCACAGATGAGCTACTTGAAGAATCGGAATTATGAGATTCAGAGTCTCTAGACGACTCATGTTGACTATGATGATGATGATCTGCACGCCGTGAAGTTGTTTCAGGTGTTTTTAAAAGTGCTTTAGAACTGGAAACTTTAGTTGAATAGTTATTATTCACCTTTTTAATACTTTTAGGACCAGGCTCCCATACAATATCTGTTTGTTTTTTACGCGCATTCTGGTGATGATGATGATCATTTGATGCCCCAACATGTTTTCCAACTCTGCCGATAGGTGATTGACTCGAAGAGGTAACTGGTGGGCGAAAATTTCTCGAGTTGCCACTTTTAGACCAATGTAATTTTGAGTCATGTACATCTGTTTTAATGTGTGAATGTTTTACAGGATAATTCCTAGAGGCGTAATTTTGTCGCATACTATTAGTATCCTTGTTATTGGTTGTATGTCCAAAACGAGGTGGTCTCGATCGAGATGAACTATCAGTCATATCAATATGCATAGTTCCAGATTTAAATGACTTACTAACATAATGATCATCGCGAGTATGACGTTCATGAGCCATTGTTGACCAAGAACTTTCTTCTCGTTGATTTTTTATAGAACTCGAACGCCTGTAGAGTAAAATATATTTATAACCAATAATATTTCAATAAACGTATGGAATATGAGTAATAATCTCTCAACATCCAATATTATAACAATATGGGTGTTAGTTATGATACTCGGCAAAACTTCAACAATATCCTGCTTATAAAAGAATGACATGTACACTTGTTTGTACACAGAACTATAGAACTCCAAGTCCTACTCTTTACTGATTATGCCATTTCCCAAAAATAAACTCATCTATATGACAAATCTCAAAAAAAATTTAGTTATGTATGTTTTAGTGTTGTGTGAACTGATAAACATTTAAATGAGACAATCGAGTCGATGTACAAATAATTAGTGACTATCCATCAACAGATTTGACAACTCGCAAGTGTTTCATGCATCAGAAAACATCTAAACATGTGGGACAATTAACAAATAATAAAAACATACATAACCAAGTCAACAGATAAGCATTTAACTGTATTTTCGCGATGACAGTTTCTCAACGATTCACATCGTAATAATATACCAATTACTATAAAAATAATCTATGCACAACGAATAGATAGCATGATTATAGAGCAATTAGTATTGTTTATTATCCTAACAAGCTGCACTATACCAAGTGTATTTCATTATGTTAACAGGGCTGAGGAGATATAACTGATGGAAATTAATTCAAGACACCAATTCAACCTACTGAAAATTATGTTAGTAATATCTTTAGTCTAGTTGAAAAACAAAAAAAGGCAATAGCGTTGGAAATTTGTCAATACTATGAAGCAAATCTTAAATATATGGTCTACTCAACATGATTGTTCTATTCAAAACAATCAGAAAAACACAAGTAGGAAAATATGTATGATAAACGCAAAAATAACACAGGAGCATAGATTATGTTTGAAGCTCACCAAAATGGAAACTACATAAATGGGTACAAATACAGACATATATGTCAGCTTATATTCATGTTAATATTGTAAGTTATAACACTAACGCAGTAAATAGTTAGAAAACCATATCTACCTGGATGTTTTCGAAGTAACTTGCCCATGAAAAACTTTCTTGTTCACTGAGCGATGAGAGTTTGGAAGTTGAGGATGTCGTAAAGATGAAGAGGGAACTTCATTGACATAACCTTTTCTTGATCTCCATATTTTAGTTTCAAGTTTTGTACTCGTTGGTGGAGAAAGTAAAGCACGTTTACGGTTGTTATTAAAATGTTTTTCTTCAATATTATGTTCATTCCGGTTTTTAGACTGCCCATATTTGCGAGTATTCGATAATGATGAATCAGGAGTACATGGCTTTCGCTTGGAATGTTTGTATTTGTTCTCTATCACTCTTTCTTTATTTCTACGATTTGGCACATTGCGATCAGTACTTCTTGAAGAAGTGTAAGAAGAAGTTGGAGAACGAGAGGACTGTCTACGCACATTTCGATTACCTGGTGTTGAGCTCTCATCCTCAGAAACGTCAGAACAACCATCTTCACCACGTCTCAAAATGGATGACTCTTTAGAAGAGATATCTTTGAGATCTGATGAAGAATCACGGTAACTATAAACCGGATTCGATATTTCTCTTCTATTTTTGTCATCGATGTCATCATCAGAATCAGAACTTCTATGGCATACGGATGCAGGCAGCGTTTTCTTTTCTTTTAAAGAGCGGGTTTGTCGATTGTGATCATTGCTATCATTTAGTTTTTTTGATTTCGGTTTAATACCTTGCCGTCGCGACCTCGATTGATTACGTCTACCTCTGTCTTGTGATTGAGACGTTGATGAATGACGTGAAGAACCAGATGATATTACTTGGATCTTGTTATTTTCTGGAAGATTACTTGAACTTGAGCGAATGTGACAATATGAACGAGAGGATGATGAAGACGAAGTGGAAGAAGATGAACTACGAGGAGAAGGAGCAGGTGGAGGTTCAACATCACCGGATGAATGTGACCGATGTCGGTCGGTTTGATGAGGATTTGCATAGGCTGCAGGTAGTGCACGGTTTTGTTGATCCTATTCAAAAGAAAATAGTTTTCTTTATACTTCAAGAGTATATGGAAATAGTAATTAAATCAAGATAAGTTATTGTGGAATACACCACATTTATAGTTATCATTTTAAAAATAATGTGATTTGTTTACGTTAGATTAAAAACAGGGGATTCAAAATATTGTCATCTAACAAGTTAATATGGACATTTATACATCTGTGATGATAGTATAATGCGCAGTTACGATTCTTAATAGGGGGTTGTCAAGTTATTTGATAAAGGAAGAATACGTTGCAAAGCTGTAACATGTCACCATCTAGGAAATGACCAACCAAGAAGATTATTCTACTAGAATAATCGTGCGGTTTAAGCTTCATAAAAGTCAACAGTGTGCAATGACAACTTGTGTGATGTTTTATTCAGGTGACTAAGATCAATGGTAAATGACCGTCATGAATCAATCCTATACCTTGGCACGACATTACTGAAATAATCTTTTTTTCACTTTGGTGCTGTTACTAATCACTCGGTCATTCGGAGAACATAATGATTTGAACAAATACATTGCAGATCAATGTCCAAACGAGAATAGTGGAATTGAAATGTACTATGAAACAGTAATCGGGATACAATGGACATCTAAGGTGCAGTTGGATGATCTAGACTTCGCAGACGATCTGGCCCTTCTATCTCAAACGCAACAACAGATGCAGGAGAAGACAAACAGTGTGGCAGCAGCCTCAGCAGCAGTAGGTCTCAACATACACAAAAGGAAAAGCAGGATTCTCCGATACAACACAGAATGCACCAATCCAATCACAATTGACAGAGAAGATTTGGAAGATGTAAAAACCTTTACATATTTGGGCAGCATCATTGATGAACAGGGTGGATCTGATGCAGATGTGAAGGCGCGGATCGGCAAAGCAAGAGCAGCATATTTACAACTGAAGAACATCTGGAGCTCAAAGCAACTGTCAACCAACACCAACGTCAGGATTTTCAATACAAATGTCAAGACAGTTCTACTGTATGGAGCAGAAACCTGGAGAACTACAAAAGCCATCATCCAGAAAATACAGGTGTTTATTAACAATTGTCTACGCAAAATACTTCAGATCCATTGGCCGGACACTATTAGCAACAACGTACTGTGGGAGAGAACAAACCAGATCCCAGTGGAGGAAGAAATCAGGAAGAAGCGCTGGAAGTGGATAGGACACACATTGAGGAAAGCACCCAACTGCGTCACAAGACAAGCCCTCACATGGAATCCTGAAGGTCAAAGGAAAAGAGGAAGACCAAAGAACACATTACGCCGAGAAATGGAGATAGACATGAGAAAAATGAACAAGAATTGGATGGAACTAGAAAAGAAGGCCCAGGACAGAGTGGGTTGGAGAATGCTAGTCAGCGGCCTATGTTCCATTGGGAGTAACAGGCGTAAGTAAGTAAGTAAGTAATGAAACAGTAATAAGCTAAAATCATTTTTTTTCGAATGAACCAAAATTCTAAAAATTATCTAAACACTTACCGAACTGTCACTGCTATCACCAGTATCATCGCTACGAAAATTTGCAAACTGTGATGATTGGTTGGGGGAATTGTCTTCGTAGGACATGCCTACATTGGAATGTGTAATATGTCGATTTGTAGATCTCTTTCTTTTATTGGAAGTATTACAGACATTTGGAGCTCCATAAGAATTTGACCGAGAAGTAGATGCGGAAGTGGACGAGTTGGAACAGTTGGAGCTGTGATAATCTCGACCATGCATTATTTTAGTATTATGCTTTGAGGAGCGTGTCTTCGGTGATCTGTTATTTGACGATTGAGAATTTGTACACACAACAGGTTTTCTTACAGATAGATTTTCATTTGAATTCGATGAATCCAAACAGCGACCTGATATGGAACTAGTTATCTCATTTTGTCTACGCGTTTTATTATTAAGAGAACTTCTGGAGCAAGATTCACGGGATAAATCATAATGTGAACATGTACCACCAGAATCATCTTCATCCTGAGAAGATAACGGTGGACTAGACGGTGTTCTAGGACCTCGTGGAACACGCGAGACTGGTTTATTAGAATTTGTATCTGACGGACCAGGCGCATCATCAGGAGACATATATTTGTTGCCTTTACGGGAGAATTCTTGTTTGTCTGATACTGGTTCCTGTTCTTTTTTCATTTTATCTTTCACTTTACGTGTTGTTGAAAATTTCCCTGAATGCTTGTTCTTTGGGGTTTCAAACATACATCTATCTGAAGATAGTGGTCTACAAAGTTAAAGGCACATCATAAAGATAATCAAGCACTTAAAAGTTATGAATCTTCAAGTAGACTAACTACAAAACTTTCATAGGTATAACTATGATTTCTACAAAATGTATACACTATTTAAAGACGAGTCCTACAAAATTATACTGAACCCTAACCCTAACACACGTAACTGTAATATGTTCCCAGTTTTTGACAAAGTTTAACGCAACTTATCGGACAGGTATAAATGCACTACAACTAAACACAGATAATTAATAAATATATAAACATAAAATCTTGGTTTTTTTGGCTGCATAAGTGGTTTAGTCGTACTTGTTAAGTGACTCGAAGGTGGCAAGTCAAATCGTGTGTGGCGTTTGACCATTATTAAAAATCTTTCATTCATAAGACTAATAATGTAGGAAACATTTTGATTTTTGTAACCTTGTTTGGAGAAGCTATTTGGATTAATTCACAAGATTCTTACTATTTAGAAAGGCATTATTTCATGATTAGTGTTCTAACAACCAAATCACTTCGTTAATTGCTACTGATGCACATTTCTAGGACATATTACTCAATTTACGCAGGTTGGTAACGTACTAAACTTGATTTTATCAGTACTATTAAACAAACTTTAATAAACCAAAAAGATTTCTGCAGACAAAAAAACTACAGGTCCGTTAGTTTACTTACCTATTAACAGATTTGCGTACTACAACATTAGACTGATAATCTGAACCAGAAGAACTATTACTTTCAGTGTCCGAGTCATTCCCATGTCGAGTTTTCATGTTGTAATTTTTATTAAACGTGGAACGAATTTCCCTGACATCACTTCTTATTTTGGAGTTCTCATGTTTACTTCGTCCAGACTTAGGTTCTGATGACTCAGATGGAGGATGGCAGTTCAACTTTAAACTATTTATTTGTTTCTGAATTTCAATTGGGTTTGGTAAATTAAATAGATCACAAAATGGTGGAGCGAAATCAACAGGAGGACATCTTAGAGTATTTAACAAATTCGATGGATTCATAGACGGAAATAGAGATGGACAAAGACCTGACATTAGTGCAGCAGCTTCCAAGACATTTGGAATATGAGGTGATGTAGCACAACCAGGGAATAATGATAAATCATTACCAGAGTTACGAAATCTTAAATGTCGTCTATCTACATCCACTGGTGTAGGTAAAAGTGGTCCACGTTCATGATCAAACCTAGGGTGGAAAATATGAGATTTAGTCAATGAAATAACATTTGTGGATCTAATCATCCTTATGTAAAATGACTTACTCAGTGGACGTAGGAAGTAAAGTGTCAGTAGGCAGGACTTCAACATGTCGTCTCTTGCCTTCTGCTGCAACTCGGCTAAATGTCGAGGATGTAGAAGTTTTCTGTACCTTTGAAGATTTTGATTCTGATAAATTATTCGCCTTTTTCTGGTTTTGTTGATTTGAGCTAACTGTTTCACGTGAGCTGTCAGCTTCGTTTTCGCTTGATGATTCTTCAAGTACGCCTTCATTTTCTTCGCTTTCCTCACTATATGTATCATCATCCTTAGCCTCACCTTCTTCAACAGATTCAGTTTCATTCGGTGACACTGCTTCTGTGGTGCTAACTTCATTATTAGCTCCGAATGATTGTTTAGACTCAGTAACAATTTCAGACGTATTTGATGTTACTACTTTGGAATTATCTTCGTCATGAACTGACTCCTCTTTCTGTCTGGTTGACGTAGTAGTTTCAACAGTCGAGCCTAGTTTAAAAAAATATTAACCCAAAAGTATGAACACTTCCCAACAATCCAAATATAAAACATCGGATATGAAAGTAATAGTCAAGTAGAAAAATGATTTACAAAGCAGTTTTATTGACTGATTTAACAAACAATAAGCAAATAACTTGATCTGTACGCTGAATATTATATCCTATGGAAGAACATTATTGATACAATTGCAAAAAGGAAGAAATAAACAGTTACCAATATACGTAAATGTAATCGAAATCGACATATACTTCAAAAATTATCACCAATATGACATTCTTGATTAATCAGTCACTGTGAACTGGTGTTAATGTGAAATAAGTTACTTAATAATTACAAGTGACTGTAAACGCATTAGTACAAAAGCAAAAAGAACACAGCAATTATGCATCCAACATCTAATTATCACAGTAATGATTACGAGCTTTCCAGTGATCAATAAAATTTGAACGAATGTTGTAAAGAGTTTATGGTACACAAAGTGATTTTTTGTGACAAAAATAAAGAAATCTGCCCCCTATTAATTTAGATATTGACAAGAATTATGAATGAAGTGAAACAGTGAACTTCCATTGACTCTCACTGGTCATGTGAGAGCATTTCGACAGCTGATTCTCTCCATGGCATTTGGGGGCTAAGAAGACAATATGAATTCGTGGGATAAAAAATATACGGTGGTTTAGAAACCTAAGAAGAAAAACAGCAAGCGCACCAGAACCATGTCATACAGAGTATCTATCCATTGGTTACGAAAATAGAGAGGACCACAACGAGACAACCTGAACCTACTTATACCACCTATCCTTAATGCCAATAACTCAAGAGATTAGTGTCATGTATTGTTTTACCCACCCCTAACTTTCTTCCAAACTACTCCCTAGACAAAACGTTTCACGTAAAGGTTAGTGGTGATTGGGCATACGTAATAAATATCTCAACTAACTTTAAAATTTACAGCCTCATCAATCAATATGTCATCTTTACCTAGTACGTTTCATCTAATCTCAACACTGTTCGCTCAATTGGTAGTCCCAACATACACCAGTGATGCTTCAGAGGTATCTACAATCATATACTAATACTCCACAGATATCCTCTATTTCCAAAGGTGAAATGTTGTAGAAGATATGTAATTTAAAGCAACTTAACTAAGATTGATAGGTCGAACCAAAAGGTGAATACGCTTTACTTAGAAAACTTACGTCTACGAACAACGCGTCTGGAAGATTTCTGTTGAATTTCATTATCAGCATTTGCTGAGTTCCCTTTACAAAGCTGATCATTACTGACGTAATCTGGGCAATGGTCATCACTTTCTTCAGAAGTGCATTCTGTCTTTTTTACTTTGATAGGTGATTCTCTTTTTCTAAATCCTTTCCCTTTTGCAACTGTATCTTTCACAGAGGAACGAGAAGAGTCGTTTGTTCTATTAGATCGAAAAGTACGGGAATGTGAGTGTTGACGTTGTCCAGGTGAATGGGAAGAAACATTGGATGACTCATGCTTATGATATTTTTTTGGACGCCTTCCACGTATATTTACATCTCGATTATGTTTGGAAAAATCAAAACTATTACCACTTGATAGTACCGATCCTATAGAAGTTAGATCCGATGGAATACCTGAATTGTTAGCAGCTGCAGCCGCAACGGCAGGTAGTAAGTCAGCATTGGGATAACTAAAATAATAAAACAAAACGGGATTATACCAATATATACCCACATTCATTGCAACTCTAGAAATCTTATTAAATAAACACGATTCGTAAATGAAGGTGGATATTTACTGACATCGAATGGCATTGAGTTGACGATAGGCCTAGTGAGTTTTAAGATTATACGAATAACTACGTCTTAGACTCATGCTTGTAAAAAAATTCCAATATTCCTCTAATAAATCTCATTATAGCACTCACTTGAAAGAGCAACCAGTAGTTTTGGAGGCCTTCCAGTTACTGTTTAACTATTCTTGCAATTGAACAAAAGTATCTTGAAGAAATACGTAACAATTTTAGCATCATTTCTTCTGGACTAGATGGTTTTATTACAGGTCTCATTGTTATGCTGCACAACATATTAAGCTCACACTACATAAGGTAGGCACTTCGCTTCAAATCTTTAACACTTCAATATATAACAATAAACCGTATGTTTCCATAAGCTTCACAGCGTTATGACCGTTGATCTGCTGCTCTGACAAGACAGTAAATTAGAAACTGAGTCTGAAACAACTCATTTCTGAATTAAGAACGTGTGGTAAAATAACGCAACCGTAATAAACAAATGGGTTCGATTTTTAAATTACTAATGAAATGGAAGTGGATGAAAACTAGGATTATATTGATCAGCGAGAAAACTGGAGATCACACTATTTGAACATAGTTTTATTCCTTTGCTTAATAGTAATTACACAAGGTCATGACAAAATAATCACGTATATCGAGATTGTATTAAAAAAACTGTTATCAACTTGATATTGAGAAAAACGATCAGTGTGCAAAGAAACCATTTCGAATCCATTTGTAGGTTTTGACAACAGACAGGTTACATAGCATCAGCCAACATATAAATTCAAATACAAAGCATTCTCTCGACTTCCCTGCACTTTATAATAAGTACCTTACAACCATTATGAATATTACAAGTTTTATCACCAACAGTTACGCTGTTCCCATTACACGATGGCAAAAGTCGGCTAGGAATAGTTATCCTGTAGTTAGGTAATACATTGAGTCATTATCTTTTCATATCATAACACAAAAACTTGAATGAAAGTGAGTAAATAAGTAGCATCACTAGCCGTCAGTGTGATACCAACCTCGAATACATAAACCTGTACTTGGCAGACGAGATTCCTCACATTAGTTACTTGTGATGCTGTTTCCTGTCATACAAATGAGCATTTAATTACTTATTAGTGAGTAGGGTCTGATTATTGAAAACGGGTTCAGAAGAAACCAAATTTGTACCATTGTGTATTCATTACGAACAAAGTAGCATGATATTTTAGATAATAGTTTTAACTTACTTTGACAATGAGAGAGCAGTCGCCGTATAAGTTCGGTAGTACTGTTGATACATATGACTGTAATACAACATTAAAAGTTGCTCATTATCCATATTTTGATTAGCATTATTAACATCCAGCCTGTAGTTTTTGAATTTGTTGGGTACAGTAGCTTGATTGGGATCGTAACCTTGAAATCGATTCCCGTAACCATGTGGTCGAATACTTAACAGAGGATTCCTAGATAAACTAGTTACTTTACGAGGGACAGTTTTGTTTATTCCCAGATTCCATTCTTCATCAGAGTTATGATTTTCTGCACTAGGAAAGCCATAGCCGGGGCTTGACTTTCTTATTCGCTTTTGTTCTCCCGAATGATAGTTGACCGCATTACTGTTGCCACGTGAATTGTATCTCCGTTTGATACCAAGTCGTAAAGAAGTATCATGATCAGTATCCCGCACATGCCGCCTTATATCTGTTTTCCCCATATTTGCCGAATCATTGTAGCATTTTCTGAGCTGCAATTTATGGCGTGCATCTGAAGGGAGTAGAGGAACGTGTGAACTTGACGAGTAAGGCATGTGACAGGATTTCGGGACTCTGAAAAACAAAGCACTATGATGAGAGGTACGAGTTAGAATTCAGAATTGATATAACTAGGAATGATAGAAGTGTAGTACCTGTCACTTCCTAGTTGTCCAAATGGCGTAAGGTTTGACACCACTTAACTGACTCCTGTCTTATTAGCTTTGGACTTTGGTCTCTATTGGTCATGCACAATGTAGAAACTGAGATATGAGCATCAGTTCGACTTGCCATACCATCAAGACGGTAGCACTTTCAATCGTCTGTTGCATATTCTTCTTAATGCACTTACTTTCCTTAATAATTGACTTTACGTATTTTTTTATGGATAATGAAGAAGGCGGTAAATGCCAGTTTGTCAATAACCCCTTATCTATATATTAGGTCATATGGTATCCAAGCATAGATGTTTTGTGGAGACGAAAACACAATAATGGCATCTCAGTGCGTCTTGATAACGTTTAAATTCAAGAGAAACGAAGTTAGACTACATAAATGATCGGAAATAATACCGACTACGTGTTCCTGGAAGTTACCGATGTAATAAAATTCGGAAATAATGTACACAATCATGAGCCGTCATACGGCTTCGTCATTGATCCTAAGCTTTTCCGACACTCCTTTATCAAAAGAGCTGCGAAAATAAGCTGCTATGCCCTATACATGAATGAGGTATGAGACGAGGATCTAACGAACCTAGCTAATAAACACTAACGAATTGGAGTATTTAGGGCGGAAAGATGAAACAGGAAGAGAATAACTCATGAAGTATGAGGTAAAAAGTCTTTAGACATATGAATAAGATGAAAATCAACGAATACTTCCTCCGTAAATAAAAAAGCACGCTCATAGGTTAACGACAGTTCATCGGAATCTACTGTCTCCAAACGTAACACACTGACAAAACTATTATAATAAAACGCAAGGAACAGAATTAAGCTCCGTTAATTGACGAAAAATATCTAACAGCAATGAATGACGAGTGCGAGATTCTTAAACATGTATGGAACATTCATTTACGTCCTAGTAATTTAAAATGTTTATCCAAACAGACTCAGTAGGAGAATTAAAATAGTGCTAAACGAGGGGAAAATTAGATGACCAATGTAACAAATATAGAAAGTGATAAACCCTTTATTCTAATAAATTCAATGCATTTACTTGGTTAACTGTTCGCATATGATATGACGTCGCATAAGTGTAATTCAATGAATATCTTAATTTAAAGCAATGATACACATTGATTGCAGTGTTAAAAATCATTTTAAAGAGTGTAATAACACCAAACTACTCAAAACCCTAGGTAAACTACTCACATTCATGAGATTCGAAAGCGCCGGTTTACTTTGTTCCTCATCCGGGAGGGAGAAGAAAAACAAATTGACTTAAAATCTGACAAAATATACAATTTTTTAATACATTTCACGAAAATTAGCACCTTTTCAAAAAATATTTTTCTCATAGGCTGATTTTTTAATTCAACGTCCAATATTTGAGAGTTCATAACATTCACATGAGGTGTAGTGGACTGTGTATTTGTATGTCCTATCTACTGTCTATTTCTCACCACGAATCAGATGGTTAGACAGTACTACGATAAAAATTTGAATTAAATTCACTGATCTTTTTTTAATTTTTTCTGTCGAGAAACAGCTACATACATTTAGCAGATTACCGTCACCTAAGTGTGATAATTCGCCAATTGTAGAACGTTATAAATAAACAAAACCTAGCTCGCCCTACATAAGTTTGTCGGACCCTTCTGAAATCTGGGCCATTCCGACAGTAGTCCAGCTAATATAGCTGAGTCAGTAGTTAGCAAGAGGGTAATTGAGAACAAAAAATTTTGAGATCACTAAACATAAGGGAAAATCGTTATTCTTAGATATGAAAGCTCTGAGCGGGAAACAATACGGCGTTTGAGAGGAGTGTTCTTGTTTCATAAACATATTCATGAGCGAAAGAATGACGAAGGGTCAAAACACTGTAACAGGAATAAAGGTGTCGCTATAGCACTCTCACTACAGCCTCAAAAAATACATGAGATTAGGTGTAGTGCAAATAAGTTTAGAAAGTGTTAAGATGGGTTCGCGGACGTCAAGGTGGAATGTTTGCGGAACGAGGTGTAAATAAATAAATCTGTATATCAAGGCGAAAAACTACAAACGCCATCACGTTTTCATATCAGTTACTGGAGACGTTGAGCTAAGTGACAGCACTCCGTCACAATCCTATGGATAAGCGCAAGGCTAATAGCAGATTAGTTTGTCAAATAAGGACCGGTAAATGATACAACCGGAGTAAATACTGCAAGCAGTAGTCATATGTAACTGAAGAACAGCTCCACTTTTTATAGTTTTTAGAGACCACCAGAGCTGTATGTGATATGGTGCCACTCAGCGACTAAGAGAAGCAAAGCCTTAGTCCAACATTAGTTATGCAACTTGTATATACGTCCAAAGTGTAGACGTATGAAAACCAGAAGTTTCAAAAAATCTTGACCCAAATATCTTGCTTTGTTTAAATTTTGCTGTTGCAGAAGATTACTTGGAGCAAAAACTTAAGATGCACCTTGCTCCTCGATAGCTGACTTTCCGACGTTGATTTAAACAACTTATGCTGACACAGACCAGAAGCATCTAATTACTTACCATATAGCTACCAATTAAGCAAATCGTTTCCATCATCTCCATACAATCACCAGTCATTCTTGCCTCTCGATGTCTACAACGGGAAAGGGAACTAATATTTCATTATAATCAATCAAAGTGTCTGAAAGGGAAACTGCAAAAATTCTGGATTTTATTTAGGCCTCAGATGATGGAAGAACCTAGGCTTTTGTCTGGAGTTTGCAAAATATTTTCAGGGAAGAATAAGCTCATTCTTGTGGTATCTGAGTGGGAGGTACAGTCAGAGCATGTAGGTCAGTCGCCCTATCAAACCAGAGTGAGTGAAACAGGATCCGTACATAGAATTTGACGGCCAAACATCGAGCGGCTTAACTAATTCGCCACCTTTCACACACATGAGCAGGCAAACATGTATTGAGAACCTTGTTTTAGTTTTAAAAAATGGTGATAGTGTGTCGCTAATGAAAATATTTTGAGGAAAGTCTTAAGCTTGTTCCACATACTTCACGGCTGTTCACTTATGGATAGATCAAAAGACAGTGCATCAGAAGAGGACCCGAAGTTTCCGCAACTGTTTGATCCCAGCTCATTGTCTTCTGCACAAACTTCGCTGTCTCTAGTGAATAAGATCATTCCTTCCTCTTATACTCTGTCAGCTGCTAAATTAGGACATACCTGCCCGTTGATTTGTGTTGAATTTTCCTATGGACACTTAAGACTACAGCAGAACCCCAGAATACAAGTGCATTCAGGTGACACGTCCCAAATAGGACGAAACTCCCTTCCTAATTTCCACAGCTAAACACCATCCATCTATTATTATTATTATTCACAAACATCTTATGGGTACATAAGTGTTGTGAAGAAACTGTAGAATTATGGTCTACTATGATATTAGTACTGCTCTAATAATAGACCTAATCCTAAAATTGTAGATTTGTCATGATATAACTGCCTAATCTATAAGAACTTACGTGGAAGTCACACCATCGACTACACCAACTCACTGTATCCTATCAATTACCAATACAGGATGTAGAACAAGGTTAGGCTAGAGAAAGAACAATATATTTAATATGAATAGGAGATATAAGATAACATCCAGCAGGGACCACGCCTGCATGGCCGAGCCATGCCACTCGATCAACTCAGTCCATTCAATTCATTTTCTGCGCCTCTCCATTGTTAGGTATTTCCCCGAGTTAAATACTGAATATCTATTTTCTGAGTAGTCTCGTGTTCACAGCTTTGTGGATTGTGTGGCTATTGTCCAATGCCACTACAAAACCACTTCGGGTTTCTTCAAAAAATGCAATAATACACAATTTTCAATAATGTCAGCATTATACTTGCCATATTTTAAAAAAAATTTAGAGCAATAATAGTAGAATATTAATAATAATAAATCGGGTCTGTGCAATTAAGAATATTGAATTGAGTTTAAAGAAGGAAATGGAGAAAATAAGGAGACGTGAAATACGCAAACAGTCTAATAGGCGTGTTTATGAACACAGAGCAAGAATAAACGACTATGTGTGTATCGTTAAATTAGTAACAAAAGTAATTAAGAAAAAATAACTTATAATTGCAGTAAGATATGACGCTAAAATATATGTTTGTGCAGTTATAGTTTGGAGCGATGCGATGAAAGTCTCAACTGAGTGAAAAGGATAATAAAATATCAATATGTATGAGACATATATGCATAGTGAATATAAAACAGGTCTGAGAAGTTAATGTAAATATAACACAAGTTATTGTCTTAATTACAAACTTCGTAATCTTAAGAATAATATTTATTTAGAGGGAAAGAAGATAGAAAAGAAGTGAACACTTAGTGAAAAGTTTTGATCCATGATAAGAATAATAATTGTGTAATGAATATCAACCTCAGAAGGAAACCAGCAATTGAAAAAATAAAATAGAAATCTGTTAAAGCACTCGGATGAATACATTTAGATTTATGTGATAGTATACAGAGTGAAACCGGATATTAGTATAAATATTTGTGCAATAATAATTAAGAATGATGCTATGTTTACAATGATTGCGAACTAAAGAAATATCGAGGCAGTTTACACAGGATTCACATACAGCAGAAAAAACTGATTAGTTCTAGTCCTTAAAATCGATAAAAAGATTGAGACAACTAGTGCAAGATAACTTATGTTTCGTTTTCTTTTACCTAACATTTTCTTTCGGCGGCCGTCGTATTGAAGTACCGTTCACAGAATATTCGTGTGAGAGTTTATCTCTTTTGTTCGAACGCACCGACGATAGAAATGTTTCCCCTCTTTGTTAGGGATGTCTGTTGTTATTTACAACCAATTAGTTATCATTATTTAATGTCTGTTGTTTATTTTCGAAGCGTGGTGAAATTAATGTGTGCTTCTCTTTAAATAGAACATCGCAGATACACTTCTCTCTATTTAGCACGTGAGCAGTCAATATTCTTAACAATTCATTACCTTAGTGTCCTATGATCTGAGTGTACATGACGTTTACCGAATAAGCGATAATACCTGTTGATAAAAGCATAGTTCGGGCATATTTCGCGTATCGTGTATATAATCCATATTATCGATTCACTTTACCACTTTCGATTGACTGACTTATTTGTTCCTTAGATAAACATGAATCAGTTGTATTCAGCAATCACAGAAGGTGTCAATATAGGTTGTTGGTCAATAAAGCTGGCTACATATTTCCGAATAAAACCTATCGGAATAAATATCCTTTGCCTTTTTGTTTGGGATTCCCGTAGGTTCCTCACTCCATTCACGAACTGTCAACACCAGATATAGAAAACTAGCTCCAATCAAAACCACGAACATAAAAGTATTGTTGCTAGAGGTGAAGCGTTAGCATGACTGAAACAAGACTAGGGGTATCAACAGTTCAGGACTCCTGACATCTGTCCTTTGAAGATGTAGAAGAGCTGTTACTACATCGACTATGACTGTAGAACAGTTTCACCTGTTTTTCTCGGTCTCTAACTAGTCACAAAATTCTAATAGCATTTTCATTTTTACAAGAAGCGACCTTCGTAGATACTCACCATTACTTTGAAGTATATTATGTTGTACAGTGCTATAGGCTATAACAGCAGAACTTTCAATGTCAATGAATTGTACGCTATCACAAACAACCGAAACGGAAACATTTGTTCAAGAACCAGGCAGCAATATCTGTCAAATAATTATGACAACAAACACTTCTGTTCATTATTCTATTCAACAGTTTGAACAGATCATCATGCACGTAACCGCTGGTCAACAGTATGTGGAACTGAAATAACTTATCAACGTCTTAGTGCTAGAAAGCAGAATTTCGGCAGCAATAAGTAAAACATACAAATGATGTTCGCGGTTCACTTTTGATAGCTTCCAGTAATTGCTGCCTGCGTTTCTCGAAGAAACTTAATATGAACTTAGCAGTCTTGATTTTCACACCAAAATAAATTGGTATTTTTCCAACAATCTCGCTAATTTCATTTTTATAAGTGGTTTCCATCAGACGAACAAGCCACCCTTTTATCTCCAACACTGAATAATTGAAATACGTCGTCATTATTCTTTCTTTCATTTCGCTCATTACTACTGAGTCATTCATTCCGGATTGTATCTAGCATTGAAATTCATTGTACTTCACTACTTTTCACCGAAGTTTCAACGTCCAGTGTTTGCTCAGCCACAATGATTGTATGCC